CACATCCTGGTTAAAAATGATAACAGAGTATCTGTTCTGTTTCACCTTACAGCATGTGTACAGCTTGCCTGGTATTAGCATCTATTTCTTCTTTAGAGAAGCTGAAAATAGGTCTGGTTGAAGTATCTGACCTCAATTCCAAGAAAGTAGAAGTTGGTGAAATAGAAGGCAAGTAGGCTATCAGCCATTTTAGGCCATCATGGTTGATCAAAAACAGGCTTGATTCCCCAATCAAGGGGGATTTGGATACAGTACTCAGGTACAGCACAGTAATACTAACCATAAAGTATCCTGCTTAGGAATGGGAATGGAGGGAAGCATAAAGGGTTTGATCCAGAAAAGGAGGAAGACATTTCCCAGCTCTGTTGAAAAAGACATGACTACTACCCATTCTCCTATGATGCATAAAGTTCTATTGTCAAGGAACCCCACTGCATGAATAGGGACCAAATTACTGTGGGGAGCACCATCTACTTATGGGACATTGTAGAGGTGCAACTCAAGAGAGTCTGCAATATTGTTGTCCATTTTTGGAAATGGGGAGTTATTTGGTGGTACATATACTGGTTTTACAAGTACAGGTTTAAATTTATGAATCACCAAGAATGTGTCCGTCTTTGCTTGATCATGCAAAATGCTACCATACTGTTGGACAATTCAATTATTTAGTATTGATTTGAAAGTTCTGACAGACTTAACAAATGCTAAGTCCTCTAGAATGTTGATATGATTAATGCATTCCAAAAAGAAATCAAGAACCATTAATCTGAAATGTTGAATGGCATTCCAATCATCAAGGAAGTGATAGTAGGTGTGCAAAGTTTGTGTGTGAAAGGAAACCTTTGAAATAGATTTTGCAGGTTCTGTCAGGCTCCCCAAACCAGGACTCAGCAATAAATTTCAATCCCCTGACTTCACATGCCATAACTTGGCTCCTAAGCATGAATTCAGCAGAAATCTCTCAAACACATGACATAGTGTGACTAGGTAAGCACCTTCCTGCAAGCTATAACAAAGCCATATTGAACAGATGACTGCCATCAGATGAAAGTGCAGTTCTTTTTGTCACCCATGACAGTTTAGGCCTGTTGTTTCTTCCCACCTTTCCAGATTCTTGGCCTGAATGTTATTTGTGGCCTTGAAGCCAAGCATTTGTTGGTTACTGACATAACTGACATCTCTGCCTTAGGAATTGTTGGCCCTCACAAGTTCCCACCAACTGCTGAAGATGTGTGGGTAGAAAGGAGCCATCTCTGGAAAATAGGCATGTGGGATCTTGCATCTGACGTCAATGTAGCAAATCCAATAACTGCTGTACAAGAAGCTGTGGTCTTTAGACTGAGTGCCAGCAGCCAATCTGGACAGGTAGAACATTTTGTCACTAGGCAGAAATGTCCCATTTCAGATACAATCCAGGACTTCTCCGATAAAAAAGAATAGATTGTGTTTGATCCAAGTGTGACTTTTTCAAGTTGACGCTTTCAGAGCTGAAGCTGCTTGAAAAACGATGAATGGTTGTTTTCATGGCTCAGGGGTGTTTATAGAACTGTGCCACAATAAATTAATCTTGTCTATATGGGTAAAGTGACAGATTCTTTGGGGGAAAGTGATGCATAATACTGACAAAGGAAGGTTTGTCTCCCTTTATTGCAGGGAAGTATTTACTGTACAAAAATGATGTCTTTTCATACATAATTGAGGATATTGGCTTATTTTCTAAACCTCATCTCTCTCTAAATCTTATCTCCTATGCATCTTATTTCCTATTCATATTTTCCATAAGCTTCTTCTCCTCCTTCCCCCCTTTACAGGCAGGCTTAAATTGCCCACACCTGTGTTAATTATCAGGGCTTAGGGAGCCCTGTGCTTGGCCACTTGGGAGTGCAGAGAAACTAAGTCTCTCTTCTTCTCAGCCTGAGATCTAACCATCCTTTAAACACCCCAGCTTTGGCTGCCTTGGTGGCTGGCTGACATTTTCTAGGCTTTTTCAGCAAGTGTCTGTTGCCTCTGGCTTATACAGCCACTAGACGTTGATGTCTCTCAGTTTCTGGCTAAAAGGGGGAAAGTGCTGGCTGGCTGTGGATGGAGTTGTAGAAGTTGACATAGCTGCTGGGCATGGGTTCTCTGCT